ATGGAGGACTTAGATCAATTGGAGAAACTGGTGAGAATAAGAAATCTTCTTCTTTGTAGTTCAACTTACTTTATTTCTTATACTATGCATTCAATCAATGCCTTTTAAACCTTTACACCTTAACATCAGTATGCATATTCTCCATACTGTTCTCTATATTTATCCTTTGTACTGACAAGGAGAATTTGTTTAACAATCAAGAGCTTCTTTAGTGGTTGACCATTTCCTTTATTCTTGCAGCCTAAATGTTTGATTCAAGGGTGATACTGTGTGGAGAAATTAGACCTGAATCACTCTTTGGGGTTAAAGGGTACAAAAAATAAGACTCATAATCAGTGACAATGAGTGTACCAATCTCAGGGAAAGAGTATCTTATAAATTTCATGATTCTATAATTCATACCCTTATTGATAGTACTCCAACCTGTTTTTTTTTTTTTTTTTACTTTTCTCCCTTATTTTGTTTCAGCTTGAAGATGTCCCTTTAAATGAGTATGCACTGAGAAAGGCAATAAGGTTGCAAATAAGACAACTGAGAGTCAAGAAAGGTTTGTTTTTCTGTTCTCACTATGTTGTACTTTGAAAATGCCTGAGATTTCACCAGACATAATATATTTTACAAACATTTTCTTTGCAAACCTGTGTCATAAAATTATTGAGGTACAGTGACTCACTTTTTTCCCCAGCATCTTGATAGAAATTCACATTCACAAGCAACTGCCAAAAGTAGCATCCTGTACATCATTTATCCCTTTTCATCCTGACATCAGTATGAGTCTTCTCTATACTGTTCTCTATAGATTTCCAGTTGTATGTGCGGGAGAATTTGTGCATCAATCAAGGGTTCTTTCAGCTGGTAGTCCCACATAATCACTTGACCACAATCTTTGATTCAGTGGTGAAACTGAGCAGGAATTTGTTGCTAGTCAGTCTTAAGGGTTAAATGTGTTCCTCTGAACCCCCTCAATGCAAAAAAAATAATCGAGTACTCCATAAGTTCTTTTAGTTCTCTGTTGAAGTAACAATCTTGTAGTCTAGATGTATAACGTGAGATATGATTAAACTACAGCAATGCAAAAGAATACTCGGGCAGCGTCTAAATTCAAGTCAGAGGCTCCAGCACCTAAGGGAATGAGGTTAGTATGGTGGCTGCTTTGAAACACAAAAGTAATCTGTTGCCTGTTTGTACTTACTTTAATATTCACAGAGGTGAACAAAGATAGTGAAATTGGGCTAGGGTTAAGAAGGAAAGATAGAGTCAATCAAAATGATGACTTACCAGGAAATAATGCATCTTTGGGAAACCAACCTTCTGAGAGTTCCAGGTCACCAATATCTGATGATAGCGGATTGAGTTCTGGCACTGAAACTATGGCTTCAGTATCTATTGATGAGGATAATGTTGAGCCTGACATTGACAGTGTGAAGCCCCAGGCAGTGGCAAGTGACTCTGATGCAGACGATGCTTCCTCTACAGTATCAAGCTTAACCTCTGAGAGTGCTTCTGAGCCAGAGGTTGTCAAAACTCCACCACCAAGGCCTCCCAAACCTTCAAGGCCTTTGTCAAGCACTCCTGTTGAGAGAAAATCTGATGCAGAGCTTTCAGAAGATTTTAAGACTAGAGTACGAGGAAGCTCAGCAACACCACCAAGAGATCTGTCAAAAAAGCCCAAATCTTCAGGTCCTGAGCAAGTGGATTTCCGAAACCAACTTAAGAAAACTGGTTTAAGAGCTGACAGAGATCTGACTGCACAGGGAAAAAGACAGCAACAGGGAGACTTCCGTGGACAGCTGAGGTCAACAGGTGTTGACACGTCAAGAAATTTATCAGCGCTAAGAAATATCGGTAAGAAAAAGGAAGGGCCTGCTCAGGTTGATTTCAGAGGACTCTTAAATAAACCAAAGGGTTCTGAAAGTCCTGTTGATAAAAAAGCGCCACCACGCCCTCCACCAACATACTTATCGAAAAAAGCAGACTCTGGGGCTTCAGCTTCACGAACTTCAGTGGAAAGTCAATCAACTGATGGTAAGGAAGGGGTAAAGGACACGAAAAGTAAAGGTGTTCGAAAGATTTCAAGTGCCGACCTGCTGAACATGTTGCACAAACCTGTTGAGACTTCTAAGGAAAGCTATCTTGTGCAACGAGGTATCAAGAAGGCGGAGGCCTCAAAATCCATGACTCAGAAATTCGTAGCTCCATCAACTAGTACAACAGATGAGACACTTCAAGCTCGAATGGCAGTGAGAAAGGAAAGGTCAGAGAAACTTGTCCTTCCAGTCAAAGATCCTCAAGGACAAAGGAAAACCTCAAAAGATGAGGAAATGAAAGATTTTCGTACCGTTCTGAGGAAAGCTGCTGCTCAAAAATCAAGAGTATTGCCCAAAGGATCTGAACTTCAAGGAGAGGAGGAAACTTCAGTAGGTGAAGCCAAAAGGTAAGAGGTTTTCAAATGAGTTTGAGTGCATCTGTTAGTGTTTGTGATATGTCTTGTCCTGTGGTGTGATTCTGTGATTCTGCTTGCTGATAATTAACTGATCTTCCTCGTAAATTCTCTCCTGTTGACTCTCTATTTTCTTTCTTTTACCTAACTTCTACAGAACCTGTCTTCAAGGCTGTCTCTGGCATGCAGATTTTTTCATTAGTTTCAGTAAATTATTGTAACTGATCATGAGCTGTGCTATAAGGAAACTTTCAGTATAAAAAAAGCCAGAATCTGCTCTGTGGAAGAAACAGAAGTTGAAATCTTTCATTAGAGAACTTTGTAGAGTAATCTTGCCTTTTTATAGTTGGCTGAAACTGGAAGAGTTTGTTCACCATTTTAGCCACAAAATCCACGGTGACCATACTCTGAGCAAAATGTAAAATGTTTGGACATTTTTAGGAATACTCAAATGTAAAAGTCCTCTGTAAATTGTCACCACATAATTTGTGTTTTTTTTTTTTTTTTGGACAATTCCAAATCTTTATCAAGATTTTGCAGCAAATATGAACTCTAAATTTCCCTGCTAATTGGTTTGTACACCTGAACTTTTATTCAGGTTTCTCTTCCATGTTAAATTAACCTCCTAGTCGTGCTCAATTTTTTTTCTTTTGGTTTTCTTCATAACTGTCTTCTTAGCAGTGTGTTTGGAGTACTGACCTCTCAAAAAATTCAACAGAGTTTGATTTTTTAAATTGTTGACTTACTTGTGAACCTAGGTCTTGTTATAATTTCTTTTTTCGAAATCAAATTTTATTGACAATTTTGTTAGAACAAATGTTTCATGAACCTCAATTGCAAATCAGCCCATACAATCATTCATTCCTGTCAGTTTCAGGCAATAAAACAAATTTGTAATTAAAATTCTTCTGTTTGAAGACCACCTGCCTATCTGTGATTGATCATGGAATGGACTCAAAGACTATTACTGTCAATATTGATTTGTGATTAGTTGTTAAATGACAATTAGAGAGAATAAACAGAACAAAACTCGAAACAGATGTCTTGTGTCATTCTTTAATTAACTGAAAAGTACAAATGAATACATCAAAAAATTCAAACAATTCTAAAAATGTCATGCTTTCTGACCAATCAAAATGAGTTTTAGATGATTAATGTTTTTTTTTTTGCAAGGTAACAATCTTGTCAATAGTAACCAATCAAATTCATATGTATAAAAATACGTGATTCCCTTTCAAATACAGATGCAAACTATTCCAAAAATTTCTCATTAACAGCCAATCAAAGTAAAAATAGTATAACAGAGCAACAACATACTTTCAGCAGAAAACAGCAGTACTAGAATTAGACACCTACTGTGTTCATAATGAGTGAAATAACTCCAATATGGCATATGCACATTTTTGTGTCCTTACTTTACATTAAAAAGAGCCAGTGCTGAAGACATGTTTCTCTTAAATTTCTTTATTCTGTATTTCTGGTAATTACTAATGACCCAGTCACTCTGAATGTTGTCTTTTTATATATCCAAGATGTTCACTGATAAGAAAACTTGCTACCAGATCTTTTAGTTTTGACTGATGGTAACCAGACTGTAACACTGTAAAAAGATTCTGTTCTTTTTCTCTGGACAGCTGTTAATCCTTTCTCTCTAGTTATTAACTCCTTGCTGTGCTTATGGCTTAGCCCCAGTAATTTTGTTTTTTGTTTTTTTAGTGAAAGTGAACATCAGATTTTGATAAACAGAAGTTGTGCATTTAGATGTTGATTATACTGACAGTGTTTTACTTGGCATTATTGGTATTTATTTAAAATGAAACCTTCCCATATGTTAGTTTGATGTGTTTTTTTAGTGAGGTGTGTTAATTAGAAAAACAACTATTGATAATAACCATGTTAACTTTTGTGGCCTTTCTGCCTTAAATGTTATTATTCTCAGTCAAAAATAATGTTTTATTTAGAGTTGATGTAGTCATCATTCATCAATGAAGAACCCTAAGTTCAAACATTTGAAATTGCTTTCCAGGTGAATAATCTGGGGAGTAATTAAGTTATATCAAACTTTGTGAAAGTGTGTACACATCTTTAGTAGATAAAAAGGTTAATAGGAGATAAAGTTTTCACATTTGTTAAAGTTTTATGATGGTTTAACCCACTTGGGAAACTTAGAGATGGTAAAAGAGAGAGAGATGTTACATCATACATTTCTTTCAAAACAAGGTTCATATCTACACAACAGATGAAAATATGGTAACTTTGTTGTATAGGAAGATTTTATGGGGAGGAGAAGGTGAAGGGAGAAGTTAATCTTTGTCCATCATATAAGAAATTCCTTCACATCCTCTAAAGGAGTTGCAATAGATGTTTAAACTAAAAACTCATTTTTATTTGATGGGTGGAATAAATTGTACTTTGTCAAATTGAAAATAGATGCTTTACTCAGTAATGACGCACCTCCTTAACCCCTGCAGCTAAATTAATTTGAGGGTGATTTTCCTTTCCTTGGGTAAAAACAAACTCACATTGTATCATGTTTTTATTCTGTATTGATTCAGTCTTGTTTATAACTACATATAATCTCTGGAACAAACCTTTTCAAAGAATAATTCATGGGGTCATAGGGTTAATACTCTTTTTTACATGTTTCTCACCTAGGAATGAAAGATTTTCAATAGACATCCAAGACAAGAATGAACTTGCAAAGTTACGAGCAGATCTTTTACGACAAAAAGAAAAACAGGATAAAGAGCCTTTGGGAACAAAAACTGTTACAACTGTTACAGAGAAGACTGTTGAGGAGACTGATGAGGGACAAGGAACAAGAACAACAGAGGTTAAAAAGATGACAGAGGTGCACAAGACAGGGGAAGGTACCACGACAGTGACTAAAACAACAAAAACAACCACAGGAGGCAGCAAAGGTTGGTGTCTATTTTTATTGCACTCTGATTTTATTATTTTATTGATAGTCTCTTGAGTTTTTAATGCCTGATACAGGAGTAAATTAGTACAGTAATGCCTGATACAGGAGTAAATTAGTATAGGAAAAAGGTCTCAGTTAATCTTAAAGGTTTAAAGAAGATATGGTTGGTTTGTTTAGCTAGTTCAACAACTTAACCCTGTACAACTTAAAATCAGTATGACAAACAAACAAACAAACAAACACTTTATTTACAGAGGGTAAAATAAATTATTACTGGTCACCCAGTAGTTTACATATTAATAACATAACATAACATAATCTTTATTTCTTAAGATAAAACCACATATCCTAAGTTACAACATAAACTCACAAGGAAAACTATTACATGTCATATTTAAAAATTATCCTATTACTAAAAACATTCTTAAACCTTTCAGTGTGGATTTATAGGGACAGAGACTGATGTATTTCTAAGATTGTACCTCATGTTCTTTTCCTTCGGTAAAAACTGGAAAAACAGGCATTCGGGGTCATTCGATCTTTTTTTGTAGAGTGCCTTTTCCGTCTTCTCTAGCAAATCCCTGATATCTACATTCTTGGACATAAACTTCCCTTTCAAACACCGGTCCAAAAAATTCTGTATTATAGAAAGGCCATTATATAATTTTTATATAATGGCCTCCAACAAATCCTACTAAATATAAAAATACCTAATAAAAAATTCATAATACTAAAGACTGTACTTAAAACGTCCTACTGATCTTAAAAGTAATGCTCTATCGAGGTATTTTCATTAATAAAATTTTTCAGTAGCATTATCTTAAAATTTGAGTGGGAAATTATGTTTCTGTATGCATATTCTCCATACTGTTCTCCTTTGTACATTTCTCAAGGCACTGGCAAGGAGAATTTATTTAACAATCAAGAGCTTGTTCAGTTGTTGATATGACCTTAGTGTGTGATTCAGGGGTGATCTTGGAAGGAGAGATTAGTTGCTAGTTACTCTTAAGGTTCAAGGGGTTAATTGGGAAGTTTAAAACAAAAATTAATCAAGTATGTACCTGTATCCCTAAAAGTTAAAAGATGTAAAACTTACCTGGTAGTTTATAACTTCATGTACAACACAATTAAGAGTAAACTTCAGGTTGTAAGTCAGGCTCCTGTCCATGGTGGTGAGGGTTTACTTAATATTTCCTGTGATTGCTTTTGATTCCTTAATTTCCTCCAAAAACCCACAATCATGTAATTTTTATTGAGTCTTAAGATGTTCAGGATTATTTTCAGTGAGTCACCTTAGTATATTGTTGTGTTAAATGTAGTGGGCAACACAAAAACATTTGAGGTTAAATAATTTCGCATGATTTTTTGTTACGAGAAACACTTCCATTGATTTTATAAAAATTTTCACCACAAATAAACAAATTAATGTACATATTCATGGTGAGGACTGAGTCTAGTGGCAGGTTTTATTTTCCTTTTTTACAAAATTAATGCAAACTTTTCAGGTGTTTGAGGTAATATTTGAGGCTGAAGAATTTCTTTGTATGACTTTTGTTATGAGAAACACTTCATCCATTTAATAAAAATTTTCACCACAAAGAAACAAATTTAAGTAGTTACTCAAAGTGAGGACTGAGTTTCCTGGCAGTGTTTTTACCTTTTTTGCAAAATTTATGCAAACTTTTCAGGCATCGATTTCTAAAACATTTTCACCATGTTTTCAAAGGGACAGGTGCTACTGTTTATGTGACTGTCTAGTCATTATCACCTTCATTTACTTTTCTTGTTTTCTTTTATTCAGTCATTAATTATTTACCACTGTTTTCTTTAGAGAGAACCCTAAAGGGAAATGAGTTAGCTTTTTCAACCTTGTTCAATGATAAGTTGTTTGTAGCATTCATTAATATTTGATATGTGCCAAATTTATTCAGTTTAGACAATACTTGGTATAGCTTCTGTTTTAATCTAAGAAGGAAACTTTTGTGGAAAGAAAAAACAGCAGTGTTTTTCTTAGAGAGGTTCCTGTCAATTAAATAACTTGGTTCCATAAAAATTTGTACCTCATCTACGTGTATATCCTGGTAAGCAGATGAAAAGCCTTGAATTTTACAAATTTGTGTCTGTATTTTACACTTTAATACTTGTTTGTCTCTAACTTGAGGGCTCAGCTGAAGATTATTACCCCAAGCCACAAATAGGTCACAAGTTGTTTGAAGTGTATTTGAGTACAGGGCATTTCACAAGAGCAGATCTATCAAAAATTTTAAAAGTACTTGCTGCTCAAAGATTAGGGTATAATGAGTAAAGTTAATTTTAAGAAATTGTGTGCACAAATGTTTTTAGCAAAGTTTATCGGGTCGTTGAGAATTAATGTTTTGAAATATGAATTCTTCTCAGCTCTTTTCAAGTGAAGTAGACTATTGTTCTATCCTTTAAGACAGTTTTTGTCACAATTGTTTTTACATGTTATTAGGAGCTTCAATTGATGCGCTATTTGCACAAAAGAAGAAAGAGAGAATGATGGCCAAAAAGAAAGCAGAGGCAAATACAAAGGACAGGAGAAATGCATTTAAACAGCAGCTTGAAGCTCATGCACCCAAAGTGTATGTACAAAATACTTTTAATGTAAATTAACATAGTTACCGGTAATACAGATAAATTTCAATACAATGTGAAAAAAATCCTGGAAATTAATTTATGGGTAAAATGGTGATCTATCTGCCATTGCCTTGGATACTGAAGAAATTGATTTGGACTGAGCTGTGGCATGGCAAAATAATAATCCATTAAAATTCAGTATTTCTGGGTGCAATCATGGCTAAAAAGACCAGCTTACTGCTCATGCTTCCTTCAAAGTTCGTTTTAAAATGTTGCACAATTCCTGTGATAAGCTAGAGCACAATGACTTGTCTGGCCTTTCAGCTAACTTCACTTGTTTCATCAATATTACTATTCCAGCGAAGGAGGGAGGAAGTTCACAAGTGGCAACACTGCTGTAAACCAGCTCCAGGAATGGTGTCGTCGAAGAACTAAGTTTCATGAGGTTTGTTGATGCCCTCACCAGAGAATCAGTTGAAATTTCTTTTTTTCAGATGCTTTAATACTATGCAGCTGAGCACAATAACTTCAAACATTCATGCACTCATTCATGCTTACAAATGAATTTGTACATTTTGAGGCAGCATTGCAAAAACCAAGGAATAGCTCAGTGCAATTGGTCCTGAAATTGTCACTCTTGTGTGTCTTTATAGGGAGTAGACATCCAAAACTTTACCACCAGCTGGGCCAACGGGCTGGCTATGTGTGCCCTGCTAAATTACTTCCTACCTGAGAAGATTCCATATGAAACTCTGGATCCTCAAGACAAAAAGGGAAACTGGACTCTAGCCTTTAAAGTTGCAAAGTGAGTTAAGTTTTAAAGACAAAGTGAAAAATTATTCTGTCACTGTGTGCTTAACCAACTTAGGATTCATAGAAGTGTCTTGCTTCAAGAGTCGTATTTACCTGATGTTGTTATAACCCAGAGGCCTGCACTGTGTAACAAAGTTAGGTAGCTGGGAGTTACTTCTGGTCATTTGTCTTGAAACGTGTATAAGGTGGTAAAATGATTGTACCATGATAGCCTTTATACATTATTTTTTTCATGGTGGGGAACAATCTGGACCAATGTCTAGTCCACCAGACTCTAGAAATAGAGGTCAAATTTCAAGACCTGCTCCCTGTTTGTTTTGATATTTGGCAACTGAAACACTTAATTCTTACAGTTCCCTCCTACACAAGTGTGAAAATGTTGCCTAGTGGCAGAGATTTGAATTTTCCTCTTAATGGGCCAACATCTCATCAGAGGAAATTATGTAGAAATATTATCATTGTATTCATTTGGTAAATTGCTTTGGAGGACCCATAGTTTGATTAGTGGTAAAGCTACACATGGTTTCATGGTTTCACCCTGTCATATGTCAGGTTGAATATTCTATGGTGAGAGAAACTGAATGGAAGGAAATTTTCAGATTCAAGTCTCTCTGGGATAGCTCCAACTGTTATGAGCTATGTGGCTTGTGAGGCTGAAAGTTGTTCTGTTTGCTTTTATCAGTGAGGAGGGCATTGAACCTTTGTTGGAGTTGGAAGATGTTATGGCTGTTGATGTTCCAGAGCCCAAAAGCCTGATCACTTATGTCCACTTTGTTTACCAACACTTTGCTGAGAAAAAACAACAGCAACAAGCCTAGATGAGTTCCTCTGAGGATAAGGTTCTTGGGGCTGCACTTTTGTGTTTCTTGAGCATAATATTATATTTTAAATCAGGAGTAATTCGTTCATTTTTAGACTTATAGGAGAGAGAGATCCAATATTGAGTTATTTTTCTGTTTTCAGCCTCTTGGAATGTTCTTTGATCCTTTCCTATTTATATTGACAATTATAGAGTTATGAAGCAGCCCTTGCTTAATTTTATTGTATTTGAAGTAATATTATATTATGGAAACGTTTTTAGTAAAATGGTTTTAGTTGTAGAGGAACATTCAGGTTATTTTAATCAGTTGTTCAGCCAAGGATTTTTGTTTTGTATTTACTAGATTTTTAGCAAGAGTGACTAATTGTGAATTAAATTCTGCATTTTATAGTAATGGAATTAATAAGGTACATTATTAAACAGTCTAATACGGTTTATATATTAAGGAAGTTTGTATCATTTATACAATACAACTTGCTGATAATTGAATTTTTCTGGAGGATTTTCTCCACCAAATTTTTGAACAAATCCGTTTTTATAGAGTAAAAATAAATTTTGACAAAGTATCTTGCACAAAAGTCATTTGAGGTACTTTAGAAGAGTGATTATATCTAAGTGGCTCATCAGATGTCGGTATATCAGATCAAATTGTTTTGGTTGAGTTTGTATACAGTGTTAGTAAGGATGTTGCATGTTACAGTTAACCCTTTAATTCCCAAGATCTGATTGTTCATTCTTTCCTCCAGCTACTAGACATTTCCTCGTGAATGAGTTACGAGAATCTGGTGTTAGATCAAGGTAACAACCTGTATCTGTAAAGTTTGCGTATTCTCATCACTTGTTTGGTGGATAATGTGTGTATATTTTAGTGAGAGGTTCCATGTTGATCACATCTGGAAGTTAAAGGGTTTAAACAATCTGTGGTATGTTAGTAATAGTCATAGCTCAGAGATCGAGTTGTTGATAGGTCTACTGGTGTTGTAGAAGGAAGATTGTGTTCGTGCAAGGATTCAAGTCAAACTTTTACTAAGTTTCGTGTTAAAGGTGCGTGTTTTGCATCAAAGTTGACTAACGAGTATGTTGAAAACTGTCTCCATGGAAAATAATCGCAAACATAAGGGTGGTGTTCGCATTTTCGTAAGTGCAGGAATATTTTCTACGCATTACACGAGAGTGTTTTACCTGTTGGTTGGCCAGGTTCCATTCAAGCGAGATTTTACAGGGCCTTGCTCAAGGCAATTTTGTCCATAATTCAGATTTGCCCTACTGATATCTTCATCGAGGATAAGGAAGTTTGAAGATGAGAGTTAAATTGTGTGCCCGCTTTGACCGCGAGTAAACTTCCCTGTTTTATCGGCTCACCTATCCTCTTGGGTATTGTAAACCCGTGCAAGATCAGCCGTCACAGAGAGAATTCTCCTTGGGTAGAAGGGTTATCTTGTTCGAAACGGGAATTTTTAAATATTCGTGATAAAGAAATACAGATAATTAAATGACAAGAAAAAACCTGGTCAGTAATATATACAATAACTTGTCGTTTATCTTAATTTAATCACAATTTTTGCAAGCAAGTCAACGAAACAATAAAATAATTTCCACGGCGGGTAATTTAAGATGTTATTGTATCTTATAGTACTCAGAGGTAGGGCATGAGATGTCAAACACGAAATATACAGTACACATCTGTAGCTAATATTCTGCACTACTGTTTATAATTAGATCGATTTTAGAGCATGGTTTTTATTAAAATTACGAAAAATCCGACTGAATTTGATTGTGCCAGTAGAGCATTTCGTCTTGGTAGTTTTTCCTCTTTGGCTGTCACAGAGGAAATGGTGGGGGAAAAGAGCGCGCGCCGTGCCCATAGTGTTCCAAGAAAAGTATAGTAGCCGGAACACAGCGGTTAAATGTCTGTGCAAATGTGCAAACGTTTGACCGTTGTGTTCTCAGCCTGCATCGTTACCCCCTATCATGCGAAACACCGAACCGCCTGACTGACTGTCAAAATAAAAATCTGGAATATTTGTCTCCTTCGTAGTCGTTCTGTAGGATGTCATGGAAAGCTTCACTCTTTAAACAAATAGCGCTCGATATGTTCCAAATGTATTTCTTGATAGATCTGGCATAAAAAATTACCTTACCGAGCGATCGGTTCTTTTTTATCGTTATCCAAAGAAAGTCTTGGCAGCCATTTCGAATTTCCCGCGGCGGCTCCCTTAAATAGTGCACAATGCACTCTGGGTTGATGACGTGTGATGGTAGTGATTCAATCTGGTTGATGCTATAGGTGGTTTGCACGTACGTCATTGCCGCCATGTTGGTCGACGTAAACAATAGGTATCCCATTAGCTTCTTTTGTTCGTTAGCCTGAGTTCAGCCGCCGTTTATTCTAAACTCCGTCTGAGCAACAGTGCACGATTTCTTGTGTGAG